GTCACCTTCTTCAGACGCAGATCCATTTGATATAATGGCAAAGTCTCTGTTTATACGTTCTCATAATTAACAAAATTTTTCTTAGTTTTTCACTCAAAAACAACACAAGTACCTATAGCTGACCATCGACAAGTGGTATTTGACTAAATTTTGCCAATTCGCTTGCGCCAGAATTTATTTCGAATAGTTTCGCTTAGCGTTCACACGGAGCTAATGCGAAGTAATTTAATGCGCAGTTAACTAATTCGTATTAAACTAATTCGCATGAAATTCTCCGTGTGAACGCTAAGCGAAGCTATTTTGCAGTAACTTTACGTTTAAGTTGAATTAATCTCTCCATTTGAACAGGGCATAATACTTGCCGGATGGGGCTGCAGATTTACACCTACACCCGACGCCCTTGTCTATTGAGCAGTAAGGGATATCTTGTGTCAACGCCTGTATGTAATTTTAGACACGGGATTTCGATTTTATTAAGTGACATCGAAAGGAACAGTCTCCACGTGTGGCCGTAGATTCGAACCGCAACGTAACAATCAGCGCCTTACCTTGCGAATCCTACCTAATCAACCACGCAGAGGACTATATGTTACTTAGTATTTGTAGGCACAGCATATAATATGTACAGTGGAACGGCAAAATGTACCGTTAAATATGAATATGTACTTACTGTTGATGGTGTTTAGGACCACATCCTGAGAGAATTATGTAAGTCTACGAAAATCTAATGATACATGTCTCGAAGTATAATGCACTCACTTAGTTCATTTACAGAACTAAGAAAGAAAATCCATCAGATGTCTTATAGTACTGGACTTAAACGAGAACCGCTGACTTTTGCAGTTGACGAATTATTCTCACAATAGGACAGTGTATGGAAGCTCTTTTAAGATATAAATATTTAGCCCAATCTTTAATTCAGCGAAAACAGCAGGCTATTTCAAAGCACAGATAAGTTGCACTTGGAGAAATCTACAATCATCCTACCCTAAAACCAGGCCTTGACATATAAGTGCCCCTTACACCATTACTATGACCACTAGAAAGGTTTTCTTATCCATTATGAATTCTGTATCTCCGTTGATGACACAGGTTTAAATGTCAAAGAAAACAGTCAACTTATAAGTCAGTACTCTACGTAAAAGTCCGATAGGAGTACAATATGTGCTTCAAGGGTAGACACATAAAGACCCAAGCAGGCAGATGTGTAATTATTCAAATGGGACAATATGTTGATAGATGAGATTATGTGCAATTTGCTGTATGTAATTTATATATACATGTTTACAAGATCTTATATTTATCTTACAAGTATATAAGATTTAATTTCAGGAACGGGGTTAATCATATAAAAAACTAATTAATCACATAACAAATACATGTACCTTGTCTTTTTCACAAAACAAATAAAAGGTTAATTAACAACGAACTTTCAGACATGTCACGAATTCGTTTAATTATAATATCTTTTAAATAGGGATGTCAATGAGTACCGTGTACTCGATCGAACGTCCGAGTTTCGAATACTAAAAATAGAACTCGGTTACCCGGATGTGTATTTTTTCTTATTTCAAAGAACATATTTTTATCAAAAACTCAATTTCTTATATAAAAAAGACTTAAAATATGCATTTGGTATCGTCATCAAGACCTGTAAAACACTCGTTATCATCCGTGACCAATTACTTGTTCTTCCCTACTGTGGTCATTAAGTTTTAAAATCGACCTATATATATATATCTAAGACGCCATGACAACCCTCCCTTTTCACGATCTTTGAAATAAATGCATGGGGATCTTATATCTGCGGAATATGGAGTTTTATTACATTTTAACCCGTGAAATACTGTAATTTATTCATTGAATAGAAATGATATCCTGTCACAGTGTGAAAAGATATCAAAATGATACATGTATCCTGTCACTGTGTCGAATATCAAAAGTGCGGGAAAACACTCAATTTCCTTTCTTATACCGAAGATTGCTGTAAATATATCTTCCTTGACATAATATAAGATAGATGGAAATAAATAAACAATCCTGACAGGAATAAAACTGTCAAAATTACCAAAAATATGTTGTCAAATTCATGTTAACAGTGTTTTCACCCCACTTAACTATAACATCTCAACGGCTTAACTATGACGTCACGAGTCCATGAATGTATTACAAAAAAGACGGAGGTAAAGGAAAAATAAAAAAAAAAATAAATATAATAAACAGAAAATTCAATGTTTTATAGTTGAATATGGAATTTATTTCACTCGTTAGACAGGATTTTTTTGATATTTTCACTCGTGCTTCGCACTCGTGAAAACATAAAAAATCCTGACCCACAAAACATTGAATATCCTCTATTAACTTTACTCAATGTAATGATATTACTTAAAATATACTGTGGAAGGGACTTCTTACTCCGTCTATCTTATATTTGAATAAATAGGAAATGTATACATTTTTAATATCCGGTGATGTTAATACATTCGAGGTTGTTTTTCCGAACACTGACGGAATGACCCGAGATGATGCAATGTGGGACTCAAAATCAACACACTTGTAGTTACATTTTACAGAATACCCGGGTACTCGATCGGAAAAACGTCCGAGTAACCGATTATCAAAATTTGACCGATTTGAAATCTCTACCTTTAAAACATGTTATAAATATGTATTATTGAATATTTCCATTTCTTTTTGTTTTCTTTGTGAAAAATCTTTGAAAGAAGATATGGAGATAACGAAAAGTATTCAATCTCAAAGTCCATAAAACAATTCAAAATTAAAGCAGAGCAAACACGGACTTCCGAAACACCAGAGATGGGATCAGGTGCCATGGAGGAGTGAGCATCCCCTGCCGACCGGTCACAACCGCCGTGTGCTCCTTGTCATGATCAGGAAATAACGAAAGAAATCCGTCGTCAATTCAGTGTATAGAAAATGGGCTAACAATTGGTATGAAAAACGTCAGTTAGCATTTGACTCAATGATAAACTGTATTTGCTGACAGGGTCACTGTATCGACCAAAGAACTTAGGAAATGATGACTTTAAACGAGACTGATGATATTCTTGTTTGTCAACTTGCTTGGCAATACTTTACCTCGTTTTAGAAATTGTTCATACGTACATGCTCTTGCATATCGAATCAACTGAGATATATATACTCCGTATGCAAGTGCTGAAGGTATATTGCTGCATAAGTAAGGGAAGTTGACGATAGAAAAGTTTAAGTCATCACGTTTATCATATAGCTTGGTTGTTAGATTACCATTAGTGTCTTTTTCAAGTAAAATATCCAAGTATGAAATAGAGGTGTCGGACTCTGTGGTATCTTTTATCTCAAACTCGCCAGGATACCGGTATATTGTATCGACGAAGGAATGGAAATTACCATTATTAATTGACAATACGTCGTCGATATATCTAGATGTCGAGTTGAAGGTCACAACAAGTATTTTCTTCTTTTCACGCATAAGATTTTGCATAAATTCTGCTTCATATGAATATAGAAATATAACGGGGCGCAATTTGTACTCATGGGAATTCCAATAGACTGTTGGAATACATTGTCTCCAAAAACCACATAGATGTTGTCAATCAGAAACTCAAGCTTCTTCTTGATGTCAACTTTAGAGTACTTATGTGTGCAATCAGAATCTGTTTTAACAAAATAATTTTGCAAATGACCAATGATGAGGTAAGTAAATTTACGAGTTCCATTTTTATTGAAGAAGCAGATGTCAATGATATCAAAAAGCCTGGATTTCTATTTGTCGTGGGGAATTATTGTGTATAAAGTTGAAAAGTCGAAAGTTTTTAAGCTGTTGATTTTGTAAAATCTTGTGATTTCAAAGTGTCCAAAAGTTCTTTAGAATTTTTAAGTATCCACATCTGATTTCACACCAATTCTTGAATATATAGTTGCACAGTACTTTTGAAGTTTTTCCTTCACTACTGTCAATATCTTAGTGAGGAGTAACGAAAGAGGCTTGGTTGAACATTTAGTGGAACCTGCAATGTATCTTTGTTTGTAAGGATTCTTATGAAGTTTTGGAATCCAATATATATAAGGTAGTTCAAATTCATTTTGGTTCTGTGTAATATTGAAAGTATTCAAAACTGACAGGTGATTTTGAAGAATTTCTTCCTTAGAAAGGGAAGTATGAGTATAAGTCGGATTACCATTTGTAGAATTAAATCCAAGTTCTTCTAGAATGCAATTTATATAATGAGCCTTACAAACGAAGACAATGTTGTTACCTGCTTTGTCGGCAGGAACCAGTACGTACTGATCGTGTAATCTATCTAACTCCTTTTTCACTTCTGGTTTATTGAACAAAGAAGGATATATGGTTTTCATATTGTCCCTCAATCTTTTAATACCAGACTTTAAAAGGATCTGATACATTAAATCCATTCTGACAAGGTGTCAATGTCATCTTTTTATATCTTGCTCATCGTATGGCGTAATTTTCCACAGAATCCAAAATATTTATGAAATTCCGACGCCAGTTGAAGGATTGGGGTTCCCTTTATTTAGGACCTTTTAAAAAAAGTGATCTAGGTCCTCATTACGAATTATAATTACGTCACCTTTAATAATGTGTCCAGCAGGACTATATTTATAGGGCAAAGAAGAACATGAACACGAAGGAGGATTATGTTTCAGATAGTCGGTATCCAGGCCATGTAAAATGTTTTTGCAATTGAATGTTAAGTGAGTTGATTTCTTGATACTTCCAAAGGAATGTAAATTTCGCCGAGGTAAATAAACTTAACAATGATTCCTCAATTATGATTTCGGCAATTACATGCAATAAAGATAGAAATAAATATTTAACATAGGGATCAAATCGAAAACTTTGATATTTATTTGTTTGTTTTCCCATCCGAAACTTTTATATAGATGTACAATAAAATTAAAATCACCGATGTTTTATTGTGCCTTAAACTTGTAGTATCTACTATATTGACATTTCATTCTCTATTTGGACAACATACCTGTTGATATCGTATGCAGAATATCCATAATACAAAAGCAGGGAAGGAAGCCAACCTGAAAATATGTACACATTTTCAATAACAAGTTATTTTTTCATACTTTCAAGTTCAAATTTATTGGTTCAGAAGCATTAACAAATTGTAATTTAACACTCAGCATTTGTAATATTTTTTTTTCTACAACTAACATGATTATGATGTCACACTCTCAACTTATTAGATACTCAAGAACATGCTCTGACTGTTATCAATTTTTAGCCGAGACGGGTTATTCACTCAGTTCATTTTGCAGTGATTTAAGCATTTTGTAAAAATTGTATGGTCGTTGTAATGCCATCATTCGGTCGTATTTTGGCTGACTTAATTGTTGTATTTATGGTGATAAGGCCATCACTTAGCCAAATACAATATTTACTACAAGTGCATTCGTGTTTGTTCTACTTTAAAATAAAAATTAAATATTGGTCATACTATTTTTAAAAATGATATTTGATAGGCTTTCGTATGTAACAGGTGTATTCCTTATGACAAAAGCCTTTACTTCACACCCTTTGACCTTGACTTGTAGTTGTAGCTTTTTGATAGTTAAATACTTTGCCTTATACTTTGATCTGTGTGCCAGAACTTTTTTTTCACAGATACTCTCTTTGTATCCTTTCTTTTGATTCTATTATTTTTTAATAACATCTTCTTTGGACTTTGACTTGCTTTTGATAAACATAAACATTCGCCATGAATTGCCACGGATGTATCAGTGTGTGTTTTTCCAACACGCCTACTGTTTTCTTCAAAACAGGGACTTGCTATCTATAGCAATTGTTTCTTAAAGTCTTGGTTCTACACTTTATTCTTGTTTTTCAAGACAGACTCCAGTATAACGATGTCCAAACTGAGTTGCATTTATTTGTTTGAAAACCTCCATTTAAATAGATAGGAACTTGAAAGTAAACATGAATATTATTTCGAACAACTTCGTAGGATCTTTTCAGTTCTAGAACTTAACGAGCCATCACATTGAACATTTCTTGGCCTTATTGTAATTACCAATCCATCGATATATGAGTTAAATATCCATTAACCATAACATAATGATTTGTATTAATCACTCTAACAAGTCTATTACATATACATGTACATCAAAATGACTTTATAGATGGAATGAATAAAAACATCAGAACTCTCAAAAAGACATTTTACACTTGTTTCCCATGCACTTGTGTCTTATTATGCCATATTGATCGATTATTTTGTAAAACTTGATTTGGAAACATCTACTTACATTCTATAGCATAATTCCATTTTTTCATTTTTGCAAAGAACAAAATAACTTCCTAGTTGAAAATTAAATCTGAATTAAGTAACACTGTAAGTGTGCCACTTACAGCATAACATCTTTTTTTCCTTTCATCACGTTTTAAATGCTAGTATTATCTAAACTAGTTCGCAAGCTTCTAGGTTCAAAATTTAAGCAAATGATATTTTGTTAGTAAATGAACTCTCATTTCAAATTAATTCAAAAAGCAAACATATGACAAAATATGCTTAAAGCTGGGATTTGATTCGTAAAAGGAATTTTCCAGCCATATTTGATTATTCACTCACTATATCTAAGAGCCACTAAATGAGTCGCTCATTTTGTCACAGTTTTAACCGGTACTTTGTCCAGACAGATGCATGCTTCACAGCACTCGCTAGAGATAAAGGAAGATACGAAAGAGGATACAAACACAAAAACGCGTAACTGCCACAAAATGTACACGTGTCGTCATTCCACAAAGATACCCGTCGCAATACAGCAGACAGCTGCATCGAATACAAGAGGTATGTATCCCGATTTTGATATCTGTAGTATAATCGAATACGGCGTCTGTTTAAGAGTCATGTTCAGCTTTAAAGGCAACGTATGGTCTGAATTTTATTTTCTATGTATAAAACTGTACCTCTTATATATAAGAGAAAAGCTGCATCTTATGCACGGAAAGAATAACATCATTCTTGGACACATTAGAACTTTTAAAAAAGTTTGAATAAAAATCAAGTAAAATATACAACCTTTACATTTAAGTATTTAATTAAAGTTTATTGCCCAGTTTAGTGCTTTTTGTCCCCCGCTTTCACGAAAGCGAGGGGACATTAAATCTCATTCGTTTGCCCGTCTGTCCTTCTCTACGTCTGTCTGTCCGTCAGTCTGTCCGTCCGTCACAAAAACTTTAACCTTGCACATAACTTTTGATTTAGTAGAGCTATGTCTTTCATATTTTATATGTATATTCCTTGTGACAAGACCTTTCTTTGGGTACCACAAAGTTTGACCTTGACCTTGGAGTTTGACCCACTTTTACACAAAAATTCTAAAATTTTATTTTGGCCCTACCTTTTGAATGGTAGGTATTACGACTTTTATATTTCACATATGTATTCTTTGTAGTAAGACCTTTTATTGGATACCAACAACTTTGACCTTTTGACATTGACCTTGGAGATTTCCGTACTTATAAAAAAAATTTTAATCTTTACCATTTCTTTTGTATGATAAGGGCTAGGGCTTTCATACTTCATATATATAATTCTTGTGAGAAGCCCTTTCAATGAAAACCTACAACTTTGCCCCTTGGACCTTGACCTTGAAATTTGGCCTACTTTTCAAAAAACTTTAACCTTGGCTACAACTTTTGAACACTAGATACCAGGACTTTCATATTTCACTTATGTTTTTTTTGTGGCGAGACCTTTCATTTGATACCAACAACCTTGACCTTTGATCTTGACCTTGGAGAATTTTTGTACTTATGAGAAAATTTTAACCTTGACCATAACGTTTGAATGGTAAGGGCTAGAGCTTTCATGTGTCACATTGTAATCCTTTTGAGAAGACTTTTCATCGGATATCAAGAACGTTAACTCTTTGACCTTGGGGTTCAATGATAATTTCTAAATAGATTACTTATGATAGGGCGTTCACATTAGACACAAATTGTCATACAAAAATGACATCTCACCCAAAAAAACACCGAAAGCGGGGGACCACAATTCTTTGAATTTGCTTGTTATTATTAATTCCGTCTTTTATTTCCCTAAATTCTAAAACACTAGAATCATTAGAATGTGAAAATATATTTCCTTTATTACATTCGGACTTAAAATGAATTCCCAAACACTAAATTGGTACATCTTCAAGAGTTGATATTAACATGATAATATTTACTCTCAAAGCTAATGTGTCCAAAATACGTCATAAACATGAGGATTGAAGGAAATATTTATCAAGCGATATAACTTTATCTCCGAACATGGCAGCCTCCAGCAGTCAGTTCACATATAACTTTGATGTCTTATTACTTCATAATTAAGTAAAAATTAAACAAATGGCAATATCAGATAAAATTCATTAATGATCATTCCAAGAATGAAATATCAAAAAAATATTCTAGACACGACGTTTCGTTTAATATGACAGCGGTTGGCCCAGTTTCTAATTAAACCAACCAATAAAGCTAGTAAATTATGAAAATATTGTTATTTACATACTTATTTGAAACATGTAATTTTAAATGGAACAGCATTGATATTCGTATTATTTTTTAGTTTAATAACTCAGATGAAATTAAAAAAACAAACGCTTGTATACATTTTTATCATGCAAAAATAAAGGGGGTACTTTTTGTTGCTGATTTCAGAATCGGTCTTGTACGAAAGTTTGATTCTTCATTTTTTTCATTTATTCAGCTTTCTAAAAACAACATTCAAACCGATTGCAGTCAAAAAATGTCCAAATTTTCAGCTGACAGTGACTTGAGAAACAAGGAAATTGATGCTGCTTTAAATGAGAAACGATCAATTGAAATAATAATTAAAAATATTAAAATGATGTTAATTTTTTGATTACATTTCTAATCTTAACATTTTCTTATCTTATATTTGTATAAAATGCAGAAAATTACTGGTGAAACATTTTAAAAATTCACGAGTACATTGCAAAATGCAATGTATATAAGGATTCTACAGTGTTATGAAGTACATGAACCTTTTTTTTACTTGGTAATTCACATAGTATATGTACTTCCTAGTACTCTATCATAATACACTATAACATTTCTACACTTAACAAAATTACTAACTCATCGCTCAGTATTTTTTATCTGCATATACATTTGTCTCATCTACTTAAGTATATCTAAAATATTAGCATTCTTACTGCATTAAAATTTGTCGATGCTTAATTATTTCAACACAACCCTGAAAAGGCCATCTTACAATTGGCCGTTACAATTAGAGCTAGTCTATTTTGTTTTATATAACCCTTATCGACAAAGTATACAACCAAAATAAAGATATGTATATTATTTTTCATCAACAAAGATAAAAGTAGATAGAGAAAATATTGTATCAACAGTACTTCTCAGCATTATATAAACTTTGCGAACGTGCGAAAAAAACGTGACGCAAGGCGATAGATAATGTGGTCCCATGACATTAATTATCTCAGATAAGTACATATAAAAACATCAAGGAAGTATTTAATAAAGAGTCATAGATGCCTTACCGACGACACGGCCGACTCAAGTATTTAAGCACCAGTCCACATAAAATGTGATATATGAGGCTTCTCAGAATTTGATGATTTTCCACTCATAGATTTATTTACCGGTCACGGTAGCCTAGTGGTAGAGCGTTCGCTTCGTGATCGGGAGGCCCGGGTTCGATTCTCGATCGCGGCGCCGCGTCATACCTAAGACGTAAACATAGGTAGTGACTGTTCCTTCGCCAAACGCTCGGCACTAGATGTGAAAGTCACGGGTCTTTCGGATATGACCTTAAAAACGTAGGTCCCGTGTCACGGTAGGCGTTGGCACGATAAAGAACCCTCACTGCTCAATGGCCCTGAGTTCCGAGTATAGGTCTAAATTTGAAGCCCTTCACCGGCATCGGTGACGTCTCCATATGAGTGAAAAATTCTCAAGAGGGACGTTCAACAATATACAATCAATCAATCAATCAATCATAGATTTATTTTGAAGTATAAACAATGTATGTAAAATGAAAAATGTTTTGAGTCATGGTAACCATGGAAACCCGGCCAAAGGAATTTCCTTAGCAACCGGTGGACTTTTCAGTGTTGAAGGACAAAAAATCACCTATCTTTGAGGCTTACATTAACACGTAAATACCATGAGAATTATTCTTACTTGTGGGTGTAATAAAGATACACATTTATAGTGTTCTAATAATGTAATACAAAATATTTAGGTCTTAAGTCAGTTCTGTGCTAGACATTGGAAGGTACACATGTTTTTACAGGTTTTGCTGATTCAGCATTTTTCGTGATTTTGGCAATATTCAAGGCAAAATTTTAAAAATGGCCAGATTAATACTGTAACAGTTGTTGCATGCATCTCACAAAAAAGTAGAGGTATTCCTCTTTTAGAATTTGAAGTCAAACTCATGGGCTCTTTTGAAAGTAGAATCTGTTGCCTAGCAACAAAAATGGGCTTTTTGATGCATAAAATGAGAAACAATGTAAAAATTTTACGGAAAAATCAAGTGAACTGTTATTTATGATAAACGAGATACAAATCTTAAAATAGTATAATTCAATTCGGTCTCCCTAGCACATTATTGAATATTGCATGATTCTTTATCTCCATAGCAACGGCAGTTTCTCTATAGCAACAAGGCAAATAAAGGTAATTTTGGCGTGTATTCGTGTAATCTTATTAAGACTTATTCAAATTAAGTCAGAAAAATCCGGTTGAGCAAAACTGACAATGAAATTTTGGTTTTATTCTTGTTATTTTTTTTATTTCTTAATCAACCCATATTGCAAGGATTCCGTATACATGACAACCAAAGTTCCTATGTCTCCTGTAAAACAGATTTGACTTTGGGATTGTATTGTTTGTCAAGAAATTTGATATTTAAGTAATATGCTGATAATTGCATGGTAATAGGTCGGAAAGAATTTAAAATGTTGTATCAAGCTATTGAATATTGTTCAATGACTTATTTCCATAGCAACAACACAACTCCCCTAGGAACGACACAAAGAAAGTTTGACGCATATTCATTTTTTACCTGTAAATCTTTAACTAAATCATGTCATGAAGAAAAAAAATGATGTTGAAATGTTTGTTTTTCGAAAGTATTTTTAAACTCATTTAATCCATAACAACTATTTCTAGCACATAGCAAACAATGTTACGTTTTCAGTATTGGTTACTCTGAAGTCGCTATTCATAATATTGAAAGATTAGGCACTCGTCACAGATTTCTCAGAAAGTATTACAATGTATGAATTCATTCCTCATGAAAATAAATAGATAAATAAAATGAATACCGTC